GGAGGATGACATCATGATGATGATGATGAAGGAGGATGACATCATGATGATGGCGATGACGATGATGATGACAACAACGAAGGATTACGTCATGATGATTGTGACGACGATGACGGCGACGGCGACGACGATGATGACGATGATGATGAGGATGATGATGATGAGGGTGATGAGGGTGATGAGGGTGATGGTGATGATGACGACGACGGCGATGACGATGATGAGGATGATGATGATGGTGAGGGTGAGGAGGAGGAGGAGGAGGAGGAGGAGGAGGAGGACACCCCTCAAATGCAGCCCACCCTCAACCCATGAATTTCCACCCCCCACCCCCCAACCCCCCCCCACCAACCCCATGAAATAAAAAAAATAAAAAAATTGAACCAGTTTTGGGCCCAACCGGAATTCCGGTTGGACCACCGGGGTTCCAACCGGCCTGGTTGGGTCCGGTCCGGTCCAACCGGCCGGTGGCCAGTGCAGCCCTGGATGCAACACATAAGGAGGAGGAGAAGAAAACAGAGGGTAAAGGTTTGGAGTCCACGAGCCATGAACTTCAGAGAGCTCACTGAGGCAGAACACACATGCAAAGCCAACCTCGGTCCTCAGTGCTCCTCATCCACTGTCTCTTATACACATCTAGATGTGTATAAGAGACAGGGCCCAGATAGGCTGCCAGTTTTTGAGCTTTCTGGCGGGCCTACCGGGCCCGGTACCATTTTTTTTTGGGCCGGGAGGCCTTCATGCGGGTCGTGGAGGCCTCCCGGCCCCAAAAAAAAATCAACCGGGTAAAGCAGGCCCGCCAGATTATTGAGGAACTGGCGGCCTATCTGGGCCGTCGATCTGGTGAGATCTGTGGCCCCAGATAGGCCGCCCGTTTTTGGACATTCGGGCGGGAAACCACACGAAGTTCTGGGCAGCGATCCAAACCTTCCCCAGGCACAGCCCCCACCACCCCACCTCCCGCCTCCAGCTGCTTTCGAGCAGCAGGACCCGTCACTTCGACACTTCGTCGAAAGTGAACGAGGTCAAGACTGCGTTGGCCCCACTCACGTCCGCC